CATGTTCTGCCCCATTTTTGGAAGAGGGATCATCCTTGTATCAATAGCTCTGTAGCAAAATATATATTCTTTATCATGTATTCAATTCAATATAAGGAGTTTGAAGCTTACAGAGAGGATATGAAGTTTAAGAGTCAAGAACAAATTTTAACTTCTTTTGAAGACTTTACATCATAGCCTTGTTGTTGTTGTTATGTGTTATGGAATCTCTTGATATTTGTAACAACCCTATACAAAATGGATTTGAACCATGTTCTATCCTTAGTTAATATTACTGTCTCCAACATACCCATCCCCACAACCCCAGTTACTGTATTAGTTCATCTCATCCAGGGCCGCCTTCTTTTGTGATGTCCCTCCACCCTTCCAAACACAAGGTCCTTCACCAAGGACTAGTATTTCCTAGCACATATCCAAAATATGTGAGATGGAGCTTCAAAATTCTTGCCTACAGTATGTCAAGGAAATAAGAAGCATCCAGATTGGCAAAGAGATGGTTAAACTGTCACTGTATGTAGATGATATGATAGTGTACACAGAAAACCTCAAATACTCAGCAAAAAAATTGTTAGAGCTAGTAGACCTATTTAGTAGGAGTGGCAGGATACAAGATCAATATACAAAAGTCAGTGGGATGCCTCTAAAGTAACAAAGAAAACACAGAGAAGGAAAGTAAGAAAGCAATAATATTTATAAAAGCCAACCACAAATTTAAATACTTAGGAATAAACCACCTAGCTAGAGACACAAAAGAACTTTACAAAGAAGACTTTAAAACACTTCTACAAGAAACAATAAAAGACCTAAATAAATGGGAAAATGTGCCCAGTTCATGGATAGGAAGACTCAATATAGTGAAAATAACAACCCTACTAAAAGCAATCTACATGTTTCACCCAATCCTAATGCAGATACCAAATTCATTTTCAAAGAGATAGAAAAGGAAATTGGCAAGTTTAATTGGAGAGGAAAGAGACCTCAAATAAGCAAAGCACTCCTGAAAAACAAGAAGGCATAGCACTCCCTGATCTCAAAACCTATTAAACAGCTGTAATAACCAAAACAACATGGTACTGGTACAATGACAGGGACATAAACCAATGGAACAGAATTGAGAACTCAGAAATTAACCCATCTGTCTATGGTTAACCCATCTGTCTATGGTCAACTAACATTTGACAAGGATACCAAAACTATCAAATGGGGAAATAACAGCCTCTTCAATAAATGGTGCTGGCAAAACTGGACTACTACCTACAGAAAACTGAAACAGGTTGTACACTTCTCACCAGTCACAAAAATCAAATCAAGGTGGATCAGAGACCTAGGGGTAAAGCCCCAAACTATAAAGATCATAAGAGACAAAGTGGGACCAAGCTTAGAAAGCCTAGTTCATGATATAAAAAGACTAACAAATACAGCCAGAAAGAAATAACCAGAAGAGGATAAAATTAATAAATAGGACCTTCTCAAGATTAAATCCCTGTGCTCATCAAAACCTTTTCCCAACAAGGTGAAATGAAAACCTAAGACTGGAAACAAACATTTGTTAATACCAACTCAGACAAGAGCCTTATAACAAAAGAATCCTATAAGGCCTCCACAAGAAAAAGACTGATAACCTAGTTACAAACTGGACAAAAGATATGGAAAGACTTTTCACAGAAGAAGAACTTTGGATGGCAAACAGATACATGCTGAAATGCTCAAAATCACTAGCAATAAGAGAGATGCAAATCAAAACCACAATGAGATATCATCTTACCCCAGTAGCAGTGGCAAAGTTTAGCAGAGCAAAAAGTAATAAATGTTGGAGAGGATATGGTGAAATAGGAAATCTTCTACATTGTCAATGGGATTGTAAAATGGTACAACCTCTCTGGAAGGCAGTTTAACATTTCTTCAAAAAGCTGAACATAGAAATTCCATATGACCCAGCTATTCTACTGCTTGGAATATATCCTGAGAAAATGAGAACTGAGGCACAATTAGAGACTTGTACACCAATGTTCATAGCAGCATTATTCACCATCACAAGAACATGGAAACAGCCCAAATGCCCAGCCATAATGGAATAGATTGAAAAAGTATGGTATATTCACACAATGGAATACTATGCAGCACACAGGAACAATGATTTTGTAAATTACTATATAATATGGGAGGGTCTGTAAAGAATTATGCTAAGTGAACTAACTCAGTCTCCAAATACTATATAAGACCATTATCGTAGCACTAGTATGAGGATAAAATGGGGGCTTAATCATAGGATTGCACAATTTGATGGGTGGAGGGATGGGTGGGTAAAGGAAAGGGGAAAGATCTGGTGTTAAAAACAGTGTATACAAACTTTCTAACTAAATATAAAATTTTTTTTAAAAAAGTTTAAAGAAATTCCTGGATCTCAACAAGAAAAAGACTGATAATCCAAATACAAAACGGGCAAAAGACATGGAAAGACTTTTCACAGAGGAAGAAATTTGGATGGCAAACACATGGAGAAATGCTCAAAATCACAGGCAGTAAGAGAGATGCAAATCAAAACCACAATGAGATACTATCTTATTCCAGTAGCAGTGGCAAAGTTTAACAGAACAGCAAGCAACAAATGTTGGAGAGACTGTGGAGAATAGAAACTCTCATCTACTGTTGAAGGGATTGTAGAATGGCACAACTGCTCTAGAAGGCAGTTTGGCACTTTCTCAAAAAGCTGAACATCGAAATTCTCTATGACACGGTTATTCCACTGCTTGGAATATACCCCAAGAAAATAAAAACTGAGAGACAAATGGAGATTTGTACACCAATGTTCATAGCAGTGTTATTTACCAACACAAGAACATGTAAACAGCCCAGATGTCCAACCACAAAAGAATGGATTGAAAAATTGTGGTATATTCACATGATGGAATACTATGCAGCTTTCAGGAGTAACAATTTTAAAATTACTCTCTAACTTGGGAGGAACTGGAGAGCATTATGCTGAGAAAACTAATTCGGTCTCATAAGGATAAATATTGTACAGTCCATTGTTGTATAATTAGAAAGACAGCTAGTAAAACATGAATGAGGGTCCAAGAGGGTGAGGATAGGCACAGAGAAGTGAAGATGAACAGAGGGGAATCATAAGTTTGCACAATTTGATGGGTGGAGGTAGGGGAGTAAAGCAAATGGGAAAGATCGGATGAGGATCTAGAAAGACTGGATGATGGTGGGCATAGTTCACTGCTGATTAATTTTATAAAATATGATGAAAGGGAATGATTGTATAAAACACAATGTGAATGAAGGATAGTGTGAAACACAGTGTATATGAACTTTGTAAACCAATATAAAATAAAAATTTATTCTTTTTATTTTAAAAACATAATCTGAAATGTAATGCAATCCTGCCAAAATGCCAATCAAATTGAAGAGAGCAATATAAATAAATCTATAAAGGCAGAAGACATTAAAGCATTGGCAAAAAATAAGGCGCCAGGAATTAATGGGATACCAATTGACTTGTTTTAATCAAGAACACAGCAATAGAGGACATTATGTTAAGGGAAGCAAATCAGTCACAAAAAGACTACTGTAAGACACGTCATAAAAGCTTAAGAAAGATGCACACGAAGATGGAATCATTCTTTAATGGTTATCAGCGATTTGAAGGGAGAGAGAAAGGAGTAAAAATTAATATATGACCTTGGGCGAAGGGGAAGGTAATATAAGTTTTAATTAG